TTTCCGCCTTCCAGAAGCTCTGGTCCTTTTTACTTCTGCATTCCTTTCTAACTTCTAATAAAAATCCTGTCTTACCACTGATCCATGGTCCATGGGTTCATTCTTCGAATCCCCAAGACCAAGGACCTATCCAGTATCACTGATCCTCCTATTTTTTTTACTATATTTTATTTATTTATTTATTTATTTATTTTGAGACAGAATTTATGTCACCCTCAGTAGAGTGCTGTGACGTCACAACTCACAGCAACCTCAAACTCTTGGGCTTAAGTGATTCTCTTGCCTCTGCCTCCCAAGTAGCTGGGACTACAGGTGCCCACCACAATGCCTGGCTACTTTTTGTTGCAGTTGTCATTGTTGTTTAGCAAGTGCGGGCTGCGTTTAAACCTGCCAGCCTTGGTGTATGTGGCTTGTGCTGTAACCACTGTCTTACGGGTGCTGACCCTGACCCTCCCTTTTTTAATTACACTCAGCCTCGTGTCCTAAGTGCTTTACTCAATTTATTTTTCTTCTTGGAACTTACCACCATCTCTCTCTCTCACACACACACACACACATTTATTTATTTATTTATTCTAGTCTATCACTTCTCCCTACATGAAAGTCTACATGACAGCCACTCTGCTTTTCTTTGCCACTGCTTTGTCTATTTGGTCCACTGCTGGATCCTCAATGCTCAAAATAGCACATCGAATAAATGAATACATGTTCATCATTCATATAGAGTTTGTGGAATTTTGCCAGGCAGTTGAAGGTCAAGCCCAGTCTCTCTTTGATTTTGCCTTCTTTAGCAACACAAAGGCCCAGTTTCTGTGTCCTCTTTCCTCAGGGGGAGCTGAGCAGGCAGGGCCTGTTGGTCCTACACCAGACAACTCATCAGAGCATTTCTGTTGTGATGTGCTTCCCAGCCCATTTCCCTCCTCCTTCCCACCTCTCCCCAGAGTTGACTTTGGAAACAAGGCAAGTCCCTCCTCCCCCCAGGGTGGCTGAGAATATGCTTCCCAGCCACGTTTCCAGGCTCCCTCCTTCCCCTAGGGTTGCCAAGAACAAGCTTTAGAACAAGGAAGAAAAGTCCCAAGTTTCACAAAACCCCCAAGTTCTCAGTAGATAAACAATGGTGGAAAACTCATCGAGGCTTGCTCAGTAAATGAACAATGATAGAAAACTCACCAAGTCTTGATTAATTACTGTTGTATAACCATAACCATTGTGATATGAGATATATCCTTTGTCAACCAAAGCTGTATTAATCATTGTTACATTACTGTAACCATTGCTGTATCCATGACTACTCGAGCTGTAACCCCTCTTAACCAGCCATGTTTTGTTTCTGTAATATGCTTGCACAAAACCTATAAAAAGCAACCCACCCCACTACTTGGTTGCTGACTGCCTCTTGAAGCAGCAGCCCCTGTGGCAGGTAAAATAAATTACCAATTAATTACATCTAAATGGGGGTCTGACTCTATCTTTTCAGGTCATAGGGGGTACCACATTTCTTCTAACCCCAAATTTACTATCCCTTACAGCTATTTTAGTAAGTAGGGTATTCTACATCTTGTTACTTTTTCAGTGATATCTGATGTCCTTACAACATGTGCTCAAGGAAACTGGCTGGGTGCCCAGCCCCTCCCCCATTCTTCAACTGCCTGCAATCAGGGAGAGGCCTTAGGAGGTGGAAGGCAGGGGGGCCCACAAGCATAGGCAACTTCTAATTTTATACTTTGAAAAAAAGTTACGGCTCAGCGCCTGTGGCTCAAGTGGCAAAGGCGCCAGCCACATACATCTAAGGTGGCAGGTTCGAATCCAGCC